AGTCTGGTAATTGCTGTCGGTGATCGGTAAATGAGGCAGTAATTTAATGGCATCTCCTCGTAAAGTCGTCTTGAGGTATTGCATTTTCTCCACATTGCTTATTTTCTTGTTTTCGTGGATAAGGTGTACAAATAAGTCGTGGAATGCCGTCCATTGGTGATAGTCACCATTGAAATCACCTCTATCTAAAAGCACAAAAAAGGGTATAAGATATATTATTTGTTGATTTAAAAAAGTCATTTATATTTTTTTTATTAACCAAAAAACTCACAAAAGAAAAAGAAAAAGAAAAATTTCAAGCCCCTGTATATCTGCAACCCGTCAGTCTTTTCCGCTGCCCTTTTGCTTAATTAAAGTAGTCCGATAGGACAATGATTTAGCAAAGTTTCATCAAAATTGGAAACAACTTAAGTTTTTAGTGAAAACACTTGGCGTGTTTTGCCCCATATGCGTTTTATACATATTTTTGTATATATATATTAGGGTGGCCCAAAAAAAAAAGAATATTTTTTTTCTTCTCTTGTGAAAATATGTTGGTTTGTCATGTTTTAAGAGCCCTGTCAAAATATCAGCTCAATTAAAAATTTTGTAGGGGTCGCTCAAGATTTTTAAAAAATTTCAAAATCGTCAAAAATTGAATTTTTGTTTTATTTTAATTATTTTTCTCGTCTCGATATTATTTTTTAGGTTGGAAATAATAAAAATTCTGTAAATTTCAAATCAATATTTTGATTTCTAAAGGTCGCTAAAAGTTCGTTGATATTTATATTCAGAGGTCGCTCGAAAACATTCAAAATACTCTACTTTGAAAGTTAAAAAAATCTTGAGCGACCTTTAGAAATTAAAATATCGATTTGAAATTTTCAGAATCATTATTATTTTTAAATTAAAAAATAATATCGGAACGAGAAAAAAAATTAAAATAAAAAAAATCCAATTTTTGACGATTTTGGTAATTTTTAAAAATCTTGAGCGACCCCTAAAAATTTTTTAATGGTGCTGATCTTTTGACAGGGCTCTTAAAACATGACAAACCAACATATTTTCACAAGAGACGAGAAGAAAAAAAAAATATATATATATATATATATATATATATGAATACCTTTTGACAAAAGGAGTAAATGAAAAATATTTAAAAAATATTTTTCCAAAGATAAAGAAAAAATATGCATTAGAAGTTTTTTATATTTTTTGTGATACACACTTAGTTTATCTCTGTACACTTGTGTTCTGTGAGTACAACAAAGTAGCTGCGCGTTGCCAGATGTAAAAAAAAATTACTAAAAATTTTTCTTGCAAATAAATAAATAAAAACTTAATAAATACGCCCTTAAAGCTCTAATATCCTTCTGTATTTATTTACTCATGCAGCTATTAGCTTAAGCAAATTTAGTACCTATTTTAAAAAATCCATATCCACAAAATTCATTTTTTCATAGTTATTTTTCTTTCTGTTTACTCAGATAAAATTGGGAACAGTTCACAGGTTAAACTTTAAACATTTAATTTGTGTAAATAAATCCAAAAGCACTTCCCTTAGTTAAGATATTTACAATTTGAGCACATAACCTAAAATTTGAAAGAAATACACTAGATTCTGTCATAAAAGTTTGGCAGATTTTGTTTGAATTTACCTTCAGTACAAAAATGACATAACCTACAATTAATAAAAACGCCAAATTGTCATTTATTTGATTGTTTCGACCTTTACTTGATGAAACTCCATATTATTATTATTATGTAGATATAAAAAAAATAAATATGTTATGAAAGTTTCACGTGTTTTATTTACTTTTGACAATTGTTTCGTCACAAGGTGACTTCTTCAGAATGTATTTAGAAATTAAAATATCGATTTGAAATTTTCAGAATCATTATTATTTTTAAATTAAAAAATAATATCGGAACGAGAAAAAAAAATAAAATAAAAAAAAATCCAATTTTTGACGATTTTGGTAATTTTTAAAAATCTTGAGCGACCCCTAAAAATGTTTTAATGGTGCTGATCTTTTGACAGGGCTCTCAAAACATGACAAACCAACATATTTTCACAAGAGACGAGAAGAAAAAAAATATTCTTTTTTTTGGGCCACCCTAATATATATATATATATATATATATATATATATATAAAATACTGAATACCTTTTGACAAAAGGAGTAAATGAAAAATATTTAAAAAATATTTTTCCAAAGATAAAGAAAAAATATGCATTAGAAGTTTTTTATATTTTTTGTGATACACACTTAGTTTATCTCTGTACACTTGTGTCCTGTGAGTACAACAAAGTAGAAAATCCATATCCACAAAATTCATTTTTTCATAGTTATTTTTCTTTCTGTTTACTCAGATGAAATTGGGAACAGTTCACAGGTTAAACTTTAAACATTTAATTTGTGTAAATAAATCCAAAAGCACTTCCCTTAGTTAAGATATTTACAATTTGAGCACATAACCTAAAATTTGAAAGAAATACACTAGATTCTGTCATAAAAGTTTGGCAGATTTTGTTTGAATTTACCTTCAGTACAAAAATGACATAACCAACAATTAATAAAAACGCCAAATTGTCATTTATTTGATTGTTTCGACCTTTACTTGATGAAACTCCATATTATTATTATTATGTAGATATAAAAAAAATAAATATGTTATGAAAGTTTCACGTGTTTTATTTACTTTTGACAATTGTTTCGTCACAAGGTGACTTCTTCAGAATGTATTTAGAAATTAAAATATCGATTTGAAATTTTCAGAATCATTATTATTTTTAAATTAAAAAATAATATCGGAACGAGAAAAAAAATTAAAATAAAAAAAAATCCAATTTTTGACGATTTTGGTAATTTTTAAAAATCTTGAGCGACCCCTAAAAAATGTTTTAATGGTGCTGATCTTTTGACAGGGCTCTTAAAACATGACAAACCAACATATTTTCACAAGAGACGAGAAGAAAAAAAAAATTCTTTTTTTTGGGCCACCCTAATATATATATATATATATATATATATATATATATATATATAAAATACTGAATACCTTTTGACAAAAGGAGTAAATGAAAAATATTTAAAAAATATTTTTCCAAAGATAAAGAAAAAATATGCATTAGAAGTTTTTTATATTTTTTGTGATACACACTTAGTTTATCTCTGTACACTTGTGTTCTGTGAGTACAACAAAGTAGATGCGCGTTGCCAGATGTAAAAAAAAATTACTAAAAATTTTTCTTGCAAATAAATAAATAAAAACTCAATAAATACGCCCTTAAAGCTCTAATATCCTTCTGTATTTATTTACTCATGCAGCTATTAGCTTAAGCAAATTTAGTACCTATTTTAAAAAATCCATATCCACAAAATTCATTTTTTCATAGTTTTTTTTTCTTTCTGTTTACTCAGATGAAATTGGGAACAGTTCACAGGTTAAACTTTAAACATTTAATTTGCGTAAATAAATCCAAAAGCACTTCCCTTAGTTAAGATATTTACAATTTGAGCACATAACTTAAAATTTGAAAAATACACTAGATTCTGTCATAAAAGTTTGGCAGATTTTGTTTGAATTTACCTTCAGTACAAAAATGACATAACCAACAATTAATAAAAACGCCAAATTGTCATTTATTTGATTGTTTCGACCTTTACTTGATGAAACTCCATATTATTATTATTATGTAGATATAAAAAAAACAAATATGTTATGAAAGTTTCACGTGTTTTATTTACTTTTGACAATTGTTTCGTCACACAGTGACTTCTTCAGAATGTATTTATAATTTATTATTAAGTGAGTTTATATAACACAATGTTTTATGGTACAAAAATTTTTGGTCTAAGCAAATAATATTCAGGTAGACCAAACATTTTTGTACCATAAAACATTGTGTTATATAAACTCACTTAATAATAAGTTATAAATACATTCTGAAGAAGTCACTGTGTGACGAAACAATTGTCAAAAGTAAATAAAACACGTGAAACTTTCAAAACATATTTGTTTTTTTATATCTACATAATAATAATAAATTGTCATTTTTGTAATTAAGCTAAATTTAAACAATGTTTGTCAACTTTTTTGAGAGAATTTGGAAACGCTGTTGTTACCAACCATAACGTAATAAATTAAATTAGGCAACCAGATTAGCCTAAAGTTCCTAGTCGATCAGTGGCGTACTTTTTGGTAGGATAAAGGTTATTATAAATTATTTTTAGTCTTTGGAATTTAGAAAAAAAAGTTTCAGGTGCTTCTTTATGGACCCTAAGGAACAACCCATTTTAATATATAACATGAATTACATAACACCCTGTGTATATATATATACGGTGCGCAAAATATTTTGAACAAAAAAATATATCGACAAAAACCATTGTCAAGGATATTAACTATACTATTTTTTGAAGTCAAATGAAGTCAACCTCAACATCATGAAGTGGCAAATTTGCTATAATGTTAATACAAAATGTTAGTGACAAACAAAACTTAACTTTAAAACTCCCATGAAAACTTTTTTATTTGAAATATAAACAATTATAGAACCCAAATTAATAAAAAAACAATAGTTAATCGAAATAGCAATAAACAAAAATTTAAATTCAAAATTTTTCCCAGTGGATTTGGTCTATTAAATAAAAAAAATAAAGATAATCAAATTGATATTTTTATTTTAAAACTAAATTAGTACAAACGTAATTTTAATATCTAGATTTCTTCACTCCAAGGTGAAGTTATTTCATTGTTAATAATTTTTAAATCTCAAAAAAATTATTATTCCATATTTTCAGAAGTCATGATTATACCAAAAATTTAACTTAAATCTTCTTGAGGCACGTGTTGTTTTTAATTAAAAAAAATTCCCAGTGTTTTTTCATCAAAACGAAGCTTTTTAGGGGGCTTCGCAAAAAAATTCATTTTTAACGACCACCCTAAGAAATATACGTTATAACGTTATTAGAAAGTTATTCCTGACCACCCTAATATTTCTATTACCTTTTAGAGACTTAAAGCCCCAAAATATTCTAATAGATGCTAAGAATCATGCAAAGCTATGTGATTTTGGTTTTGCAAGAAATATGAGTACTGGAACACATGTTTTAACATCAATCAAGGGTACTCCTCTATACATGGCTCCAGAATTGATGGAAGAACAACCATACGATTTTAAGGCTGATTTATGGTCATTAGGATGTATTATTTATGAACTTCTTGTTGGCACTCCCCCTTTTTGTACAAACTCCATCCTGCATCTAATAAGGCTTATTAGACATGAAGAAATACAATGGCCAACCTTTATTTCTGAAAACTGTATTTCTTTTTTAAAGGTATTTTTTAAATTATGTAACTTATCTTTTTTAAATAAAAATTTAATTTTTAGGGATTGCTACAAAAAAATCCTGCCAAAAGGATGGCTTGGGATCAAATTTTAAGTCATTCTTTTGTTAAAAGTCACATATACATATGCAAATCAATCGGGAAACTGCCTCTTACTAGTTCTTCACCAATTATGTGTCATGCTAAGCAACAACAAAAGATGGAAATTCTTAATAAAAAAAGAATCAAAACTGGCCCTGTGACACAAAATATTTTCTCTAGTAATGAGAATAAGTCTGAGTTTTATGTTCAAAATAACAACTCTATGAGTGATGATTTAAAAAAATTATCCCTTAAAACAAAAAATGTAGAAGCAGGCCAAGCAAATAGTACTGACTCCATAAAAACCCTTGCCAAAGTGTTTGGTGAGAATTTGTAAAATTTTGCTTTGAATAAAAATAAAATTATAGTGTTAAAGGTTCCACAGCTAATTTAATTGAAGACAATCATCCAATAGAATCTGATGAATGGATAGTTTTTCTTAAGAAAAACATCCAAGAAATTCAAAATGGAGAAATGACCTCACTGACTCAGGCAAAATTGGCAAGCATAATAGTATCTCCTTTAAGAAATAATAATTCCAGTCCAAAAGTTTTAACTTACATTGCAAGGTTAATGTCTATACCTTTTGTTCTAAGAGGTGTTATGGATGATATGCTTAATCAAATCCAGAAGGTAAAATATTCAGTTTTATTTATGAAAATGTGCAATGGATGTTGTTCATGCTTTAAAAAAATAATAACAAATATTTTAAGTTAAATTTTTTATCAAAGAAGTCGCACTTTAACTCAATTATCGGTTGGTGATAATGTGATGTACAAGAAAAATCCTACTTCTCCATTGGCTCCAGCCCTAATTACAGATGTAGACAGATTTCGTACACCAGAGAGTGTAGACTACAGACGAAACCGTCAACACATACTAAAACCTAAAAATTCTCCAGTTGCTTGTAACCTCAACTCGAGGGCTATGGCAACGGCAGCTTTTCAGCGGAAAGATAGGTCGATGGGCAAATGTTGTTTCTCGATACTTACGTCTATACAAAATATTTTTACTAAAGTCAAATAAAAATTGGGCGCCAGTTTCTTATTTGGGCCAGTTTGTAAAGTCTAAGTAAGTCAGACACAATCTTACTAAAGATTAAGGGCGGTTATTAAAAGTCAAGTCTAAAAAAAATAAATCAAAGTTATATTTGTTTCACCGACGTTGAAGTGATCACTTTTCATTTAATATTAAACATTTGTTCGATTTATAATTTTGGTGCACCCTTATATGGCCATGGTTTACAAAAACCAAAGTCTAATAGACTAAATTAACAGAGATGATAAAAAAATATATTTAAAATTATGTTTGTTACCTGTTATGGATTCTTTTGTAATCTTTTTGGGTTAATAAATAAATAAAAAAAAAATAACTACAATTTAAAAGTTGAAGACTATGTTGAACTCTCGACTCAAAAGTACACTAACGTAGTAGGAGTGTAGTGCACGCTATGTTCTCTAACATTAATATACAAAGTTGGTACGACCTGAACGCAGTTGGGGCCCTGGTAGAGTGTGTTTCCAAATAGGTTGGCTTCCGATGTTGAAGTCTCCTGCCATGTCAGATTTTACAGGATGGCCTTTCATTAACGTAAGAACATTATCAAAACAACTTCAGGGTAAAAAACAATTCCTTTACAACAAATCTGACATAAAAACTCCAGTATTTAAAACCAGTACTTAATACCTGTACCTAAAATCTGTACTTAAAACCCTAAAAAAAATAGTATGACGCCTAAGCATCTTGAAAAACCACAAAACGTCCTTGGTCTAATGGAAAACCGCGAGGGTAACAGAAATAGATTAACTCACCCTGAGTTTCCGTACAAATATCCTTATTAAAATGTATTTAACAATTAGTCAAACTAAAAATAAACCACTTTACAGTTCACATCTATACCGTTCTAGATGTACAAAAACTAATAAAATAAAATCAATGGGTAACTGTCAAAATGACGGTTACATGCTCAGAAACGTGAACAAAGTCCTGACTCTATTGACTTAAGCCCTGAGCAAACAAGTAGTAATAATAATTATACCACCAGACAGAAGTGGTAGGCAGGTTATATTACCAAGAAGGTTTTCTTTTACTGAAAATTACGTAGATAACTAGTCCTAAAATGTTACTATATATATATATATATATATATATATATATATATATATATACAGGGTGACCCAGTGCTCTGTGATCGGTCCATATTTTTTTTGCTATTAAAGATATCGATATGAAATTTTTATAGAGGATATGATCGAACTAAACCTATTTTCCAAAATTATTTTGAACAAAATTCCACTTCCGGTTTCACCGGAAGTGACATCAACATTGTTATTTCAAATAGAATACCCTGTATATTTTTTGATTTTTAAATTTTATATGTAATTCCTGATAAAATTTCTGTAACATTCCCTATACCTAAACTCAATAGTTTTCGAGATATTAATTTTTTTCGTAAAAATTTGACAGTTGCGCCTTCAACAAAAATAGCATATAACTTCTTTGTTATTAGGTCTATTCGTATGCGGTTTGGATTTTTGGAATCTTGAAACATTGTTTTAAATATCCCGTGTCAAACTTTGCCATATTTCTAACCAATTACTTGATAACAATTAGGGTGAATTTGGCAAACTTTAAACGTTAATATCTTTCTTATTTTTAATGGAACGCTATGTATATTTTTGCAGAATTTCTGCAAATTTCTTATTAAATTATCTTTTGATTGATATAACCATTCCCTATACCTAAAGTTAATAATAACAAAGATATTTCACAATTTTGTAATAATTTAGGTATCAACACAACTGAGAAATCGACAAGCGAGTTATTTTGACGTATGGATACCAATAACAAAAATTGTTTAAAATCTAATTGTTACACTTTTTCTCGTATTTGTTCAGTTAAAATGGATTTTACGCGACAAGAAAATTTCTTAATGATAAAAATGGTTTATTGTATTGGAGAAGCGGATCGAAATGTTCTGCTAGCTAGTAGAATTTATCATCAAAAATATCCAGACTCAAGATTGCCCCGAGTAATTTCATTTCAAAAATTGAGGGATAGATTTGAATTGACGGGTAATATTTCATTAAATTTACACATTAGCGACTTTTCCGAAAAACGGATTGGGGGTTGCCAAAATGCAAAAAATACGTGTGGAGGGATGTAAAAGTGCATAAGCAATCGGCGCAGGATAAAAAAGTTGTATATTATCACGTAATTAATAAAAGGGGATGATAATTGAAGTGACTTACAGTGATTTTCTGTGAAAAAGAGCATGTAGCGAGTCAAAAACACGTATCTAATAGACGTAGAATTTGAAAGTGAAGTGAAAAAGCTTGAATTATGAAAAACAACGTCATAAATTGCGGAAAATGCAATTTTTAAAATCAGTATATAGACCTAATAACAAAGAAGTTATAGGCTATTTTTGTTGAAGGCGCAACTGTCAAATTTTTACGAAAAAAATTAATAACTTGAAAACTATTGACTTTAGGTATAGGGAATGTTATGGAAATTTTATCAGGAATTACATATGAAATTTAAAAATCAAAAAATATACAGGGTATTCTATTTGAAATAACAATGTTGATGTCACTTCCGGTAAAACCGGAAATGGAATTTTGTTCAAAATAATTTTGGAAAATAGGTTTAGTTGGATCACATTCTCTATAAAAATTTCATATCGATATCTTTAATAGCAAAATAAATATGGACCGATCACAGAGCACTGGGTCACCCTGTATATGAGTAATTCTTTTATAAACCGAACACCTTTTGACCGACACATCTCAGATTTGGCTGAAACTTTTTTTACGGATTCTATGTCGAAAAATAAGAGATACGTGTCCGAGGAATTTTTTTTCTCTCGCATATTTTCGATAATACAAGCTATCGAAAATTTGAGAATAACGAGTTTTTTGGCTTATAGACTCATTTTCAAAAATTTTTAACTCTGGTTCTATTTGAGCTACAAACTTATTTTTTTTTTAATTTTTTTTTCAAGCAAATCTGAGATGTGTCGGTCAAAAGGTGTTCGGTTTATAAAAGAATTACTCATATATAAAGGGTGTCCAATTAGGTACGCTCGATGTTTGATAGGCAGCTATGGCAAAGTCAGTACAGACACAGCAGTCAAATATTTTGAAGTTTTGTTGGCATATTATGACATTTGATAATGGAGCGTTACACGGTTGCTCAACGCATTCAAATTATTCAAATTTACCAACAAAATCAATGTTTAATTCGCCAAACGTTTCAACGGCGTCATTTCACGCGGCGGCGATATCCAGTGGCCAACGAGATCATGCGATCTAACGCCGCTGGACTTTTTTGTGGGGCTACGTAAAGTCCCTTGTGTACGTGAATAAGCCACGAACAATTGAGAAGCACTGAAGGCCAACATTACTCGTATAATAAATGAAATCGAACCCGAAATGTGCGAAAAAGTGATAGAAAATTTGACCTGCAGAATTCGCGCTTTGGAGCGCAGCCGCGGGGGCATTTGAAAGATGTTATTTTTCATAATAAATGCCATAGGATGTTCTTTTAAATAAATATATTTTTTTCCTAATATCTTAAGTGTAGTTTGTTTTATTTCATTTTAAAGTTAGAGCACTCTTAAGTGGACACCCTTTATATATATTGTAAGAAATAACACAATTAAACAAAAGTTTATCAACGACACTGGAATTATTAACAACAATTAACAATTAAAGCGGCGTAATATCCCGAGCACGGGTTATGATAAGACTGCTCGTCTTTTGCTGACGAATTCCTTATATACGCATAATTACATAACACCGTGACCGGCAGCGGCTTACAAAACAAACTTTTAACCGTAATACTCATACTTCTTAAAAATATTCGCTAACACGGCCAAACTGACTTAAGCGACGCTCTCGGCGCTTTTTTTTTGCATCTGTAATATTAAAGCAGTTATTAATCAGTTCATAATCAATTACACAATTCGTGTTGATTGCCGACGACCACATTCACCACATGTGGTGATCACCATTAACCACCTGGCTCTGTCACTATCAGAACAGAGACCAACTTCACATCTTGTACATGTGGTGACCGCAGCCAACCACTTGGCTCTACCACTAACGGGACAGAGACCAACTTCACATCTGCAACATGTGGTGACCGCAGCCAACCGCTTGGCTCTACCACTAACGGGACAGAGACCAACTTCACATCTACAACATGTGGTGACCGCAGCCAACCACTTGGCTCTACCACTAACGGGAAAGAGACCAACTTCACATCAACAACATGTGGTGACCGCAGCCAACCACTTGGCTCTACCACTAACGGGACAGAGAAACAACAAATTAATTTAAAAAAATCATTTAGTTAAACATTATTTATTTAATTCAATTATTTTACACTTAATATTTTTTTTTCACAAATATTATCATCATAGTTAAGTCATAATCCTTTACCTCTTATAATTCAACTTATTTTAATAAACTTACATTAAATTTCAATAATATCATTTACAACACACTTAATCACTTGTTCCATGAGCAGCATCATCACCTGCCCCATCTGTTTCCAGAAATTCTAACACTTCTTTCGTATCACAAGTCAAAGACCATTGTGTCGGCCAAGCTCTCAGTTGCTCTTTGGAA